GGGAATTATGTCAGCGACATTATTCCTCAGCGCTGGTGTTTGTAACACACACAGACACACTTTATGCCACGCTCGGCACCCAGAATTTCCCTGTGGTGTGTCTGGAGAGAAAAGGATGTGTTCTGAGGAAGAGATTTTTAAACTGCTGTGTCATTTTGTGTTCAGATCCAGCCACAAGAACAAAGCTAAAAAAAAGCGCAAGTCCATGTATGTACTGATGTGATTCACAACCGAGGGCACTTTTACCCTAGGGGGCAATTCTGCAGTTTCCAGGGGGGTATGGGGACAGATTGTAGAGCAGCTCAATTAATAAAAAAATAAATAAAATGACTACTGTAAGTGACTGAAAAATATATATCCTTATATTGAGTCAGCCTGAACACTGAACATTGAACCAAACATTGACAGATCATATGAAAGCATTATTGTAGGCTAACAAGATATCTACTTTCATTATCATTGTTAATGGTAACTAGTTCAGTTGAGTTCATCTAGCAGGACTGTGCGGGTACGTCAGAAAAAAAAAAAAAAAGGTTGGAACCACTGATATACTATATAAAGAGTGGGTGTTTGTGTAGTCAAATAGAAAATTAACCTCAGAAGACATCATGCATTTTGTCAGTTGCACAGAACTCTTAAATAACCCAGTTCCCTTCTTCTTTTCTTTGGCTGAACAACACTGGCAGTAGTTTCAATCCACCCCCAAAGCAGCTCTGCTAACAGTTTGTTGAATCTGTGTGAGGAGGAGGAGGAGGAGGAGGAGGAGGAGGAAAAACATTTCTCCACATACGTAATCTGGACGGAAATGAGAACAGGAATGTCATTATGTTGCTGGAATTCCACAGAAAAGGGAAACGGGCGCACAGATATCGATAGAGGGTAGAGCTGCAGCACTTTCAAAGGCTGTGAGTCCCTCAGTATGAATGTGTGGTGGGTTTTTTTTCCCCCCTTGAAAACTGACCCGTCTTTGTGAAATTGTTACAGGCTTACTGTTTGAGGATGATTAATCTTTACTGCAGATCAATACCATACGCCTTGCACATGTTACTACGTTATGTGAGAGCAGGGGAGGACTCGGCATGTAGCACACAGCCTGGGCAGCTTTTAAGAAGCCTTTTATTTCCCTTAGTGTATCAAATTTATTTTCATCCCCACAGGTACAAACTGTATAATCTATTAGGTCCCTGCTTGCTGTGCATTTACCACACTTAAAGCGAGATTTTAAATTGTGTGTGAGTGGGTTTTTTTTTTAATTGAAGGAAAAGGCACACGTGTGGTATGATGAAATGCAGCAAGGAAGTTAAAGCGCAGTGCAGATGAGAATTGAGAGAAGATCAAAACCAGCACATCAGGATTCAGCGTGAGTAAGACGGAGATGGAGGGAGGGAGATATGGAGGGAAGGAGGGTGAAGTCGAGGGGCAACCCCCCTTTCTAGACGAGGGATTCCTTTACTGCAGTGATCAGCAGTCCCCCACCCCCCCTCCATTCTTCCCTCCTCTCCTCCCACCAAGTGTGCCGCTCCTCTCCTCCCTCCCTCTGCTTTTCCTCACACTCATGGATTTCTCTTTTTATCCTCCTCTCTCTCTCTCTCTCTCTCTCTCTCTCTCTCTCTCTCTCTCTCGCCACCATCCCCGCTACACACACACACACACACACACACACACACACACACACACACACACACTACAGTCACGTTTCATTGAGGAGGGATTGTCTGCTGCAGGGTACAGTATATGTAGCACATGGGTAGAAATGCAAGCGCACTCGTGACTCACACCGTTTTACTCCAGCCTTCATTTATCTCTATCGCTCCCCTGCTGCTCCTCCATTTATCCTGGCATTCTTTCTCCTACTCCATGCCGCCACACCTCTTCCACCTCATCCGTCCATCTTCCCAGCTATCCTCGATGCCCCTTTCTTTCTCTCTCTCTCTCTCTCTCTCTCTCCCTCTCTTAGCCGTGTGACATTGATTCCAAGGTTGCTGTGCTATTGACTGCTGCTACGCTGTTAAATATTTCAGGCAGCGTTTCAGTGGCTGTGTGCCGAGGGAGAGAAGGGGAGTGGACGTGGGGGGGGGGGTTCGCTCTGCAACTACTGCTGACAAACAGGCTGGCGAACAGACGGGAGGACACACACAAACGCATACACACATGCCACCTGCAAACACACAGAGGTACATTCACACGTACATGTCAGTCCACAGATGGACACACACACACACACACACACACACACACACACACACACACACACACACGCCAGAGCCATATTTGCATATGTCTGTGATGCCGCCTTGTGTCGAGGTGCGTGGGTCGTGCTGGATGTTGTTGGTATCTCTGTGAAATCTTTCCTCCTGGCCTCAAGCAGCTGAAGTTAATGAATGAGCCAAGCGGTAGCTGGACCGCTCTCTGCAGACTCTACAGTTATTCCAGACCAGCCAAAACGCCTTTCTCAGCATGTCATCTGATCAGCAGCCTAATCACTGTTTGGGCTCTACTTGATACCACGGGACAGTAATCAGTATTCTCATCGATGACAAACACACACATACACATACACACACACGCACACTTCACCATGGGGTTACTGCAACATTCAGTCATCTTTGTCCTGCTGGTGTCAAAAAACAAGAGTTTTTGCGGCCCTGATGAGGAGACACACACACATACACACCCTTCTGGTCCCTGTGGTGGTGCTCAGTTTACTGTGGTCCTGCTTCACTGCTGCAGTGAGAGCAGTTACTTTTTTATAAACGTTTTCAGACTTCTTTAACTTGTTCCTCACCATTCTCTGTATTTGCAGACCGTAAAAAAAATAGAGAATTCAAAAGGTTTTTGTGTCTCTGGGGGGGGGTCCTAGCAGAATAGGGAACCCTCAGCAAGGCCTCCATCTGTGGTCCCACGCTGAGCCGCTGAGTGGTGGATGGTCAGTGCTGCGTTGCATGCCTGGTGAGGGCAATCTTTATGTTGAAACAGAGACATTACTCCATTGCTGACAACAGACTGGTTTGCACCATATTGCTAATTAATGTAAGTTATGCTCCGCTATTGATAATCCACAGCAGTGGAAAGAAACTGTCATTGTTGGTGTTAATCTAAACATTTCCCTTCCACATTGCCACACATTGCAGTGGTCTGAATTGTTTGGACTGTCTGAGTGGAAGCCGGATTAGACCACTGCGGAGATGTGATTGGCAGTCACGTTTCTCCGACTGACAGCCAGGACATTAAATCGAGATCACTTGATTGGCAGCTGTGTTTGTCAGATCGATGCTGGGATTACAGTTAGTCCCACTGCCGATCCTCTCACGGAAAGAACATTTTCAATTTTGCATTGTGTTTGTTGGAGTAAGACTGTGGCAGTAAAGTTCAGACAGCTGTCAGTTATTGTTAAGATGACTGAAAACAATTTGAACTTCATGTGATTGTGTAAGATGTTTGACACTGGCTGCATGTACTGTGTCAAACCTCAACTGTGTAAAACAAACACACCATAAAAAGCTAAAAGAATACAAGAGAAATCGGACCAGACCTATGAAACATAATTCACTATATTCCCCAAGTCTCATGCTGTGTTACCGGGCCCTCTCATGAGGCATATGGTGGAAATTATTGCAACATCTGTACTGTTGAGTAATACCGAAGAAATGCTATGATGAGTAGACAGGTATCCACACAGTGCTTGAGTTTAGCTCAGTGCTACAGATCCCGAAAGCATCTGTTTGTAGTGACAGAATATACAAATAAATGCACACACGTATACACCTGCTCACCTCTGAAATATCTTTCACTCTATAACTGTCTGTGTATGAATTAATCTGTTGTGGTTCACCTCAGTGAGGGTCAGAGATTGTGTGCGTATCATAAATCTGATATTATAACATTTGTACACAGACTGAGGGGATCTGTGAGCTGGATCCTGAAAGATATCCTGTGGCTACACAAACTGAAGGGTTAGTGGGTTTCAGGAGACTGTACTGTATTTCCTGTGGATACATTAATATACAGCACTACAGTGTCACAAATCGCATGACTCCAGGCACCAGTTATTAAATATGAGGATGCAGTCAGCAGAGAGACAGAGCCTTATTTGTGGTGCGATAGAGGCATCTTTTGTTTGTGTGTGTGTGTGTGTGTGTGTGTGTGTGTGTGTGTGTGTGTGTGTGTGTGTGCGCGCGCCCATAACTAAAACTTTAATCAGAAAAAAATCTGTTTTTGCCCCCTGGCACTCTTTCTTGCTTGATTTCCGATGTCTCATCTTCACCCCCATTTGCTCTGTTGAAGTGTGAGGAGATCTGACAGCCTTATGTCATGCCTTAAAAGGATCGACTGCGGCTCGACAGAAAACGTGACGAGCTCTGTAATTCGAAACAAATGCAGCGCATATGGACACTCCTACTTTGTTCGGCTAACAGTATAGCAGAAAGAAAAAAAAACGAGGGTTTCCCCAAGCTCTGCTCCTCTGTTCGTCTTCCTCCCCTCCTCCCTCACTTACTCACTCAAGTCTGACACAAGTGGAGAATTCATACTGAACCACATTGGTTGTTATTCTGGCTGCAGTTGGCTGCCGTCTTTCTGTGTCTCCCACTGTGGTGTTTTCCTTCAACTGGTGGTTTTTGTTCCTGGATACTGGAGTATTTTAGATGTGACATGCTATGTGGGTTTCTATGCGTCATCCCATTGTAAAATATTTCCATGACTGGGAAGCTGCACTTGCATCTGTTAATCTGCGCTTCTTGGGTGTGGCTCCAGTCCACATATGGGAACATTTCTAGAAACCGGAACAGAGGAAGCCATTTTGTAACATGATACACTCTGTCAGTCTTGCAAATAAACAATTAGTGTAGTAAGTGGGATGCACTAGGGTTGTATCATGTTGCTGAGTGTCACGCAACTGAATCACAGCACCTCAGGATACATAAAAAGAATGGAAATGCTAAATAAGAGAAAGCTGTGTACAAGTGGAATAACCAGGCTGTCCTTTCTCTTCCTGTCTGCAGGTTTGGAGGGGTGCCCCCTCATGGCATTTCCACCGACTGTTGTGTTCCTCCGCTGCTCCAGAGGGTAAGTCCTCATCTCCTTCATTCAGTTTATTTCCGTCCATATGAGCTGTATTCGGGGTTTCCCCCTTTTAAGGAAAACCACACATCAAGCCTCTGCTCCCCATCTGAGACAAATGAGTTCTGCACCTAGAGGAATTCTACATTGATCAGACGGCAGAGGCTCATTTGGAGTTAACAGCCAGTAGTCATTAATATAGAATCTGTCTCGGGGTAGCATCTGCTCGTCTGTGTGAGAGGCAGGAGAGATGGAGAGCGTGAACAGAGGGAGAAAGGTGTGGTGAGGCAGCAGCATTGCAGAACATGCTGATTTGATTTTAAAGTGGGCTTTAATAGCTATAGAGTTGGAGTAGACATAGGCAAATGATCCTCACACTTTTAGCAATGTGCCTGTGGTGACAGGGTAGTGGAGGACAAAGGGAAGAGGTGCAGGAACAACTCAGATACTTGGGGCAAGGTTTGAAATTGTCATGGTAATGAAGAGGTTGGGTGTAAAATAAAATGTCTGCACCCCTGCGTCTTTGAACACGGTCAAGACACTCTTGAAACTGAGCCTGGGTCGGTGCTGCCTGCGCCAGGCAGTGATCCTTTACTTCTTGGTGCGAGCCCAAGCGGAGATCTGCTGATTCACTGCAGTGGTCCTGAGCAAGGAGGCAGGAGGTTGTTGGATGCAGCAGCAGCAACAAGGCAGCTTGGATCACCTCCACTGTGGGCTCACAGCCCCCCTGCGTTGATTCATAGCTCTGTCAATAGAGGCCACTCAGCATGATAATGGTATAAGCTGTGGAGACTCATTATAACCAGAGTTTGGTTACGGACCAGTAGAGCTGGGTTACAGACGATTATTAGTATGCCAGAAAAATAAAGTGCCACTGAGCAGAACCAGAAGCTCAAAAGTGCAGATGAGAGCACGCACTGAAACACGTTAAAGCACCGTGAACTTCAAAATAGTTCTGAGTGCATTCTGTTGGTCCCAGAAGCACACAATCCATTTTTCTTATTTCTCGCTGCTATGAAAAGCCAAAACTTTCAAGGAATGGATAAATTGCAATGTGAACCTCAGGGACTTTTTGATTGTCAGACACGAGAGGTCTTTTTAGCCTTTCTGTGGGAATGAGAAATATCAATAGTTGGCATCAACGAATCAACCCAACAGTTGTGTGAGGGAAAGGTTAGTAATATTATACTGTATTGATCTTCAGGACCTGACAGACAGTGGAAAATTAGCTTATTTCTGGCAAAACAGCGGTCAGTGTACTTCTGTCTACATGTATAAGACTGTGCATATCTTCTTACATGTGTGTTAGCACATTGATGAATGAGATTTAGTCAAGATCACAAGAAAGCAGTAGTTATATGGAGGTGCACAAATAACTACTACTGTTTTAACCAACCTTGTTGTAGATACTGTATGTGGTGTTTACAGCCATGAGATCAGATAATGTCACAGAAGAGTGTACTAACTTCTCTTTTAAACTGTCGTGAAGATAAAGGTTTTTGTGAACCACACTGAGTACATGTTCCAAGAATGTTTCCACAAGAGCTAAGAATAATTTGCTGGTCAGAGGTTAAAGGATGCAGACTCTTTTCTGTTGCTGGTTTTAGGTCGCACGCTGTTCCTGGGCAGCTGCTGCTGTTCATTTAGTCTGGCAGCCCTGTTGTTGAACTCCTCCGACAGGTGGAGCTGCTGTTGCACTGCCCCCTGCTGGGTCTCAAGCCACACACCTCTGTCAAAGTAATGCTTCATTTTTTGGTGAAAGGTTTGCATAGCACCATCAGAATACCAGACTCTGCTGTGTTTTGTTGTAGATGTTGGGTTAGTGTGTGGTAACCAGAAGACGTGGGCAAGTTAAAAGGATTAATGTTCCAAACAGACAATACAGACATAAGCTAATAATCCAGAAAATGCCAAGACTAACTAGTTTTGGACAAAATACTGCTCCTTAGCCATCCTTCTTAGATTCATTCAGAGCAGAGTGAAACAAAAGCTCATTTCCATTGCTCAGCTAACACCTCAGGGTGTCATTTTATATTTTCTGCTTGTGTGACATTTGTCTACCTGTCTACATTTTCTTGCCTGCAACCCCTTCGCAGAGGTGACAGTGGTGTATCAGAACGGGCTGCCGGTGATCTCAGTCAGTTTGCCGTCCAGGCGAGAGCGCTGTCAGTTCACCCTCAAGCCTCTCAGTGACTGTGTGGGAGTTTTCCTGCAGCAGCTCCAGGCAGAGGACAGAGGCATCGACCGGGTAGCTATCTACTCCATGGGTACGTGCACAAACACAAGAATACTGTGTACACACACACACACACACACACACACACACACACACACACACACCACTACTGTATCCGTTTACCCCAGCAGGTTATACATAAACATGTTCTTACATGCTTTCAAGTGTTCTTCTATTTTGATGCTGTTAAGTGCTCCCGTAGCTGTAGCTTTGCATCAGAATTTAATACCACTGCATGCACAATGAAAAGATTTTTCAGGCCTCACTCTGCACAGAGGGGTTCATTATACAGGCACAACTGGTACTTGAAATCTTACTCATAGCGTGTAAGTGCATCTGCTTTTACAGCAACAAGCCTGATTATCAAGAGATGTCAATGGTGTTTGAAGCGGCTACCAATCAGCGCTCCATCTCTCTTTCCATTTCTCTCTCTCTCTCTCTCTCTCTCTCTCCAGATGGAGCGAGGGTCGCCTCCTCCACAGGCATAGACATCCTGCTGCTGGATGATTTCAAGCTCGTCATTAACGACACCACACACCTCGTGCGGCCACCAAGGAGAGGTGAGGACTGGCAGAGAAAAGGCAGAGCCAGTGCTGTTTGGTTTGAGTCACTTCCTCACAGTTAGGGTATGAGGAAGAAATGGTTTTATTGGATCGTATTAAAATGTATATATCTTTATATATTATCTGTTTGCGTTTGTGCTTCAGAGCTGCTGCCCCATGAAGAGGGGGAAAGGCTGAATGACGTCAAGTTTCTGGTGCAGCAGCTCTACACCACCCTGCGCATCGAGGAGCACCAACTCGGCAAAGAACGTGAGCTGATTGGACGACTGGAGGACCTCAACTCTCAACTCCGCCCCCTGGAGAAGGTCTGACTTCCTGAACACATTTGACTATCCTCAATGCTTTGTTGTTGGTTGCACGAGGTCCCTGATGCTCTTAGCAAGACACACAAATCAGTTTCTAATTTGTCAACCAAGAATTTAACAGTCGAACCTGTGTGACTTTTAAATAATTAAATTGTGTTTGTGTATACTTTTCCATGGAAGCCAAGAGGAGCTGTACTGTCATTGCTCAGAATTTTGAAGGCCTGTTTATAATCATTTTATCTGCAGATATTTGGTTAAAGATATCGGACCTTGCCTACAGTGACAATAAAAATGATTTAAGGATCTTATAATAATTACATCTTAATCTGGAGGAGTCTTACAAACTTATCACAGCTGCCCTTGGCCTGTATACTTCATTGTGCTGAAAATGTGATTGCCCTTCTTCCTAACGAGATTCTCCATACATATTCACATATTTGAACTGGCTGACTGTCTGCTTTCTTCTTGACTTCCATGTAGGTGAGGGATGAGTTGAGTAAGAAGGCAGAGCGGCGTACCACCTGGGTGCTGTGGGGCGGCATGGCGTACATGGCCACCCAGTTCGGCATCCTGGCCAGGCTCACCTGGTGGGAGTACTCATGGGATATCATGGAACCCGTCACCTACTTTATCACTTACGGCACAGCCATGGCCATGTACGCCTATTTCGTGCTTACACGCCAGGTAAGACAAAACGAAACACAAGAAATATACAAACACATACCCCGAAATTAATTATTAAAGTAATGTTGCTGCTGTGTGGGTTAGAGGTTTTTCTGGAGAAAAATTGTTTATTGTTGAGTCTTTTAAGGTCGTCAAATGCCTCAGACACTTTGGCAACCTAAACTGTCGGTATTTGATGACCTTTCTCCAGAATAACTCATCCCGTCTTTAAGGCTAAAACAAGTATTCAAATTTAACCTTCTCAAATGTGAGGATACGCAGCTTTTCCCTGTATCAAGTTATTGTTTTATTGTGTTAATTATCTTTTGGATTGTTGACGAGAGAAAACATATAATCTGAAGGTTTTACATTGAACTCAAGGAATTTGTGATTTTCACTGTTTTCTGAAATTTTGTAGAGTGAACGATTAGATGATTAATTGTAAAGGTTATCATCAGATTAGACACATTAATAACCTTCCATCTAGTGGGCACACTGGTCTCATTTTTTGTGGCAAATAATGTGACACGTCACTGATTCTTTTCGGTAATTTTTTACATTATGCAGACACTGTTATAGCAGCCAGAGAACAGAGCATGACAGTCATGAGATCTATGGGATATCCTCTGTTTGTAGCAGTCTGCACTAAATTGTAATATTTTATGCTATTCAAAAAGCAGATCTAGTGACACCCTGCAGAATTGAATCCAGCATTTATAAATCAGGTTTCTAACTCCAAGGACATGGAGACCATTTGATGTTGGATTTCTCACTAGTGTGACTTGGCCCAAGGACTAGAAAGCAGAACATGGAGGGTATCTGATAAACTGGCTCCTCTTACAAAGTGCTCCGTCTGTGTGTCTCTATAACCTGCAGGAGTACGTTTACCCCGACGCTAGAGACAGACAGTATCTGCTGTTCTTCCACAAGGGGGTGAAAAGGACACGCTTCGACATTGAGAAGTACAACAAGCTGAAGGATGATATCGCTGAGGTACAGTCGCTTGGTGAAAGCTGGATGTTTTGTGATGTAAAATGAGCACTGCAGACACACTGGGGATTCACACATTTTACAGTTCAATACTTGGATTTGTAACGGCTGTACGTAGACCTACTTTGATGCCATTCCCTATTCACTTTCTTCTCATATTTTTTACCCCGCCCCGCCTCTCTCTC